GTTTCCAGAGTGATTTCTTCTTCATAATTGCTTTTACAAGCTCACCCCTAATCCAAGGAGGTCTATTTGAATTTCTAATTACGATTTTAGGAACAAAAGCGTTTATTGCAACAAAAACCATATCACACCAATATTCCCATAGTGTATCAAATTCTTTTTGACTTTGTTCTTGATAAATTCCGGCGCTTTGTGGAAGAGACAACAAAGTTCTGTTTATTGATTCAAAATCAGCATGCTTGAAATCATATTTATACGTCCGATTTGTTTTCTTTAGTTGAGGTGAAATTTCGATATCAAATGTTTTCGGATGGCGGTCCGATGGAAGACCATAATTGCCTACTATCGGACCCGATTCTACCGATGTAACACCAAAGGGAGTATAGGTTAGCACAAGAACAAGAATTTTATCACCTCTAGTTGGGACTTCAACTAGTTGATAAATATAATTATCCATTAGTACGTTCACAAAGTCATTATCTTCGCCTGACACTGAATTTGAAAAACCAGATTCTTCTATCAAGCGAATTGCTGGATAATTAAAATCTCCCAAAAATATAACGGTGTAATGGTCATTCGTATTCAACCTGCTTAATATTTGCTCAAAGTTCTTAAGAAAACCACGATCATTTGACTGACGATAGCAGCATACCAACAATATCTTTCTACTATTATATAAATTTGTCACTTCGACTAACACTACTTCGAAGTCACTAAGCTCTTGGACAAGATCAAATTGGTTTGAACAAAGACTATTCTTGACCGCTATAATAGTCCCACTACCGATTCTATTAAAACGATCATTTCTATAAACTCTATAACCTGATGGAAAAATTTCAAAGTAATTAACCGACTCTTTCAACCACGAATGTGTTAAAACATACAATATCAAAATCGTTCCCATACGAAATATCCTGTAAAATACTTAGCTTGGATTCCCTTATATCGCCATCGGAATGAACTGCTTTAATGCTTCGGGAATTCTGTAAAAAAAACGTAGCGGTGATTGAGACGGACCTGGGTTCGTAGATACATCGCTACATTTTATCAGCAACTGATTTCCAATGTCGATAACCAAACACTAAAATCCATGCTTCACAGCCTTTGTAACAGGTTTAACATATTTTCCAGTTTTTTTCAACACGATCTTATTTGCTAAACGATTTTTTGAACACACTTTACGAAGTATTGCCTCACTGTTTCGTTCTTCATTTAATTGCATGTAATAAAAATAGAACGAAAAATACAAAAAGTATTGAGGAACTATAAGCAACATGTCCTGCCATGATGATGGCACTCCTTCATCTGATTACCATAACATAATTTGGTTATAGTAGCACGACTGCAATTTAATAACAACATACTTGCAACGAATTCATCCACTGAAAACTAGGCTGTATGCGATATTAAAAAATTTGAAAGCCAAATCATGCCCAAAACTCAAATTATTTCTCACTTGATCACCATAACATTTGTTTTACCCCAGTCGATTTTAGGTCATTCTGTTGAACTTGCTTTGTAGCTGAGAGAATATTACGTATGTCGGACAAAGCCGAACAACATCTCGAAAAAATAGGCTATGAGATATAATTTTACCGAGTGTTGCATTTTCCTATATTCATGCGACATTCACATAGTAGTTATTTAATTAAATCAATTTTCGCAACTTATACAGGGTGTATAAAAAAGCTGAACAGATTTGAAATTGCTCTCAATTTCGAAAAACAGCTATTAGTATCCAGTTTTTGATATGTGTGGCTTCTTTGGGTACAGGTACTTATAATGTAATATTTAGTTTAATTTAGTAAACAGGTTTAATTTAGTAAACCAGAGGTGTGTGTGTCTTTTCCAATAAACTAAAAATGGCTTGCGCACGATATTTAAAAGCTGTCATGATATTTTGAGTTAATAGGTGAAAAATGTGTTGGATGTTTAATTGCTGCATGAAATTTCAGACAATTTTCTTCAGTTTAAGTCCTTTAACTATTCATGTAAAAACTTACATTTTTTCCTAAAAAATCAGCCTTTTGCATGTTTAGTTAATGCGTTTGCCTCATTTGCACATGTCAGCTATATGCAACTGAATTAAGTAAAAGCATTAATTAAGCATGTGAAAGCCTGATGAATAGTTAAAGGCTTAAACTAAAGCAACTGATTGTCTGAAATTTTGTACAGTGATTAAAAGCCCAACAAATGTCCATCTATTAACTCAAAATACGATTAAGCTTCCAAATTTCGTGTGCAAGCCTTTTTTAGTTTATTGGAAAAGGAACACCCCGTGGGTTTGCACAATTTGAGTTCGAGTATTTTTTTTCCGATTATTCTACACTATGTGTGCTCAATGAATCTATATAACATAACAAAAACTTGATCCCATGAGCTGTTTTGCAAAATTGTGAGCAATTTAAAATCTGTTCAGTTTTATACACCCTGTATAAATAAATTAACACTTATCGATATAGGTTTCTTTCTCACAAACGTCCATACTGTATGTTGATCTGTTTGATACAACGGTGAAAACACCTTTTTATTCAAAATTCACAACCAAGCGGCTATCTTTAAAACAAGGAACGGGGAATCGGGGTATCGGGGAATGGGAACGGGAATGGGAACGGGATTGGGAATGGGAACGGGAATGGGAATGGGAACGGAAGTGGGAACGGAAGTGGGAACGCGAACGGCAATCATAAAAAAAAACATCATTTAAAAAACGAATAAGTTCTTTGTATGTTTGCATGGGGAAAAAATATAATTTATATTCTGTAACCCTCACGGATGGAAAGCTTTGTGTATTTACAAAGTACAAATTGCAAAAAAACGAAAAAGCAGCCGAGCTGAGAATGTCCATTTTATACATTCAACAAATTTATATCGTGCACACATTCTGCTATGTTTAGTTTATTATAATCTATGATAATTCATAGCTATTTTCGTAAATAGAATAAAATTGAATTGCAAGCACTGTTTATCGTTAGCCGCGAGTGACTGCCGTCTTATATTCGGCTTTGTTTCAGCGGTATATCCCACAGAAACGGTCTTTTATTGCTAAAATAATCATACATTCAAAGAGGTTTCCCAATTGAAATGAGGTAGCCCGTACTTATGTTCCTCTTCTTTGCAACAGTTTGGCAAGCGTAACCCGATACGAAGGTTAACACTTTTACCCACAAGTTCACAACACTTTTGAAGACGCCATGGCTGGCGTCGTTTCCGCAAAGGCATAAAGGCATGACATTGTGTATTTCAATATATCGCGCACGCACTGCACTAATACATATTGCATGCCGCTCGATGAGGATCGTTTAGTAAAATTTTACTAAATGACCGGAATCAAGTGGGCGGTTTAATATTTACTAGACCAAAATTTCATGTTACTTTGTAATATTATGCTTTCTGAAATTCCTTCAAACGGGGTTGTATTAGTTTTAATACACCTAGCATGACGTCATGCCAGTTGTATTAGTTATTAATTCAACCCGCAAAGTCAAGAGAAATTCAGGCAACCATGATATTATCGTAGTTAAGCTAGGTAATGTTAGTCAATTTCATTAAAACGCTCCGCAATGGTTGAGAACTGTGACAAATATTCCAAAACATAGTATTAAAATAACAAACGAAATCCATCAGACCAAAACAAATCCCTGTTAACCGCACATGTGCTAACTCGAACAATCACTTCGCCTCCCATTCGAGGTAGCGATGTTCTACTGTATATCAGATGGCACTTTGCATGTATGATTCTTTTAGCAATAATATAAAAGACCGTTTCTGTGTGCTGATATATGCATGTGTGGATATACTGCTGAAACAAAGCCGAATATAAGATGGGAGTCATTCGCGGCTAACGATAAACAGTGCTTGCAATTCAACTTTATTCTCTTTACGAAAATAACTATGAACTATCATAGATCATAATAAATTAAACATAGCAGAATGTGTGCACGATATAAATTTGTTGAATGTATAAAATTGACATTCTCAGCTCGGCTGCTTTTTCGTTTCTTTGCAATTTGTACTTTGTAGATACACAAAGCTTTCGATCGCTGAGGGTTACAGAGTATAAATTATATTTTTTTCACCACGCAAACATACAAAGAACTTATTCGTTTTTTAAATGATGTTTTTTTATGATTGCCGTTCGCGTTCCCACTTCCGTTCCCACTTCCGTTCCCATTCCCATTCCCATTCCCATACCCATTCCGATTCCCCGTTCCTTGTTTTATAAAGATAGCCCAACCAAGCTGTTCGTTGAAATATTGCTAAATAGTACGCGAGAAACGATAATAAATGTCATGCATTGTAAAAATTGCAGTATAGCATATCAATCCCATGCCAACCCCATTACTAACTTCTTACTAACCGAACGCGGGGACTGTACTGAGAAATTCGGACCGAGGTCTTTTCGTACAGACCAAGCCCGTAGGGAGAGTTTTGTACAAAAAGATAGAGGTCGGATATTTCCCTGTAAATACCGAGCAAGCGTAGTTAATAAAAAGTTTATTATATGGCATTTATATTCACTTATACTTGAAACAAACAAGAAATGCATGATTTGAAATGCATATTAGAAGCGTGGTACACAGTTGGTCGAAGAGAACAAAAATTGAAATGCCAATGTATTCTTTCTATTCCACTAAAAACCATTCCCAAATGTCTTATTAGTCACAAATTAAATTATTATTTTCAAATTTTCAATTAGTTTTGCTGTTTTGTTTTAAAATGCATCTGTTTGTTTGCAGGTAAATAATGGGCCGGTCCATTACAGGGAAATAATTGACTGCTGAAAGTGCTTCTCAGCCAATCACAGTCCGCCATTTCAGCGGAAGTGATGCTTGCCATATAATAAATTACAATTAATCAAAGTTTTATTCCATTTTATTTTTGTAGTATACAGTTGATGTTAATATCATGTTTAAAGACTCTATTGTCAGATTGGTCAACGATTTTTGTAATGAAAACAGACTTAGACCTCAAGACTGTGGAGTTCCTCAGTACGTGTTCAGTGTTAATTTTTTGTATGATAAACGATATTTAGTATAAACCTACTAGTAGGCTATCATATATCGCGCGTTTGATTGGCTATGCTACTAGTAGGCTATTAGTGATAGCCTACTAATATAGCAACAAGTGGCGAAGGGCGCGAGAGTCAATGGCCGTTTCAAAGTATTAAAGGCTGCATTTAAAGACAAAAAGATTATCAAAATGGCCTAATTTTTGTTCTGGATTACACACAATCGACTCTTGGAAACTGCTCACACATTCTCAATTTTGCTTGTAGTTTTGAACATGGAAGCGACAGGCGATTTTTTCAAAATATATGCACAATGTTTGTTAATATTCGAAGTAGAATCGTTGAAATTCAACAATAGTTTGTAGCTACGTGCCCCTATTTTCTCAACCTCTTTAGTGTGTGCTTGTTTTAAGTTCGATTTCATGTATTTAGCTACTATTTTAAAGAGGTGTTTTTTTTTCGTTTAAATGTTGAGATTTTGGCCGAGTTTGTTTTTCGCCTTTTTCGAGCCAGGCCTTTTTAATCGAGATTTTCGATTAAATTTCAATCTAAACTATTGTCTATGTACACTGGCTAGATGATGGAAATGGTTTGCCTGTTTATGTTCCAGATATTTTAAAGATCTCAACGTCATTTGGATTCTTTTGTGAGCATTTTTATTCGGCTTTTTAACGTAAATTTTATTTAGTAACAATTCGGGAAGCCATTTTGTGTTCAAATTCTGGACTTTTTAACCCTTATTTCCTTCTTTTAATTGGCCAAATTTTGTTTCTACAA